TTCAACCTTTGCGTATATTAGCTGCGACATATGAATCAAGATGCAATGACCGAAAAAAAATTTGATTGACAGATGACTGTTGATATATGATTGGCCGAATTTAGGTGTACAAGCTGACGTAAAACTAACTGGCCTGCATAAGATAACGAAGAAAACCCCCCACAGATTTTAGGACAGGATTTTTTTTAAACAGAAATTGTCTAACTTTTGGGACAATATGGTTTGATAAAGAGTAAATTTATATATGTTTAAGCCAGAATGATTTGACATTTAAATATGAGTATCAACAAATTGTTAAAAGGTCTTGCTAGAAAAATACTGTTATTCTTGGATGACATGACCAGGCTTTAAAATGTTGGAAAAACCTGTGTTATGTTGGATAAAGTTGTAAACGGCTGTGTTGTGTACTCATTTTGTACCCCCCGCAGATATGGCTGCTGTTTGAGCTAAAAAAAAAAAAAAAAAAGGCTTGAATAGGGATAAATTCAGAGAACCAAGTTCCAGTTATTGACATTTGTTCTGGAGTTAAGGGCATAGTTGATGACAGTACCTGCGAACATACCTGTCTCTCCTCTGCCTGCTTAACACCTTTTCTAACTATCATTACTGCAGATTGATGCAGTTGACCAGCTGTCAGACTGGGTTGGCTGATCAGCAGAGTTCAGCTCAGTGAAATTAAAGTCAAGCTATGGGATTTGGACACTTCACTGTCCTTTCAGTTTTGTCTTCCCTCATGCCAAATTTCTTAAGTGTTTTATGGTTTTGAGGTATAGCTGGTATTACCAGTGTATTAAACTGGTAGCTATAGAACCAACCAACTCTCTGATGTCCCCTCTTTAAGTACTGCAACATAATTTTCTCGTTTATAATATAATTATTGATAATAGTAAGACATAACCTCATTAATTAAGTTGAAAGTTTTACATATACCTATTATATTCTATATCAGTTTGGACATGAAAAATGAATATAAATTATAAATAGATTCTTTAGGATGAAATACATCATAAAATTATACTTTATGATGCAGTTCACAAATTGAAATAAATCAAATTGGACATTGAACTATTGTCAATTTTACTGTTTCATTGTATATTCAGTTTTTGAATCAATATGGGATTAATACATTTTCTATCTAGGTTTCATAGTAAATTCACATTAGGCAATTTTCCATTACAAAGCTTAATGTCATCAAATGTTAATGTTATGCTTGGTTGTACTTAACAGGAAGTAGAGTTAGCAAGCTAGCACAGACCACAGATCAGTGATGGACTGAGGTTTTAATGAATGTGTTGCATTCAGGCAAGTTCCACAAACTTTTTTACAACACCTGCTCAGAGATTTGAGGTAAATATTCGCTATATCAGAGGTTATTCAAAAAATTTGCTCCCATTTTATATATATATATATATATAAATATATATTTGCATGAATAATATGGACATGACATTGTTATCATGGCAATGAATGATAAACAATATCATGTACGGTAGATGTAAGGCATTAATTATCTCTCTTCTCAGATGTGTTACGGAAGCTGTGAGAGCACCCCCTGCTGCTCTTTGTCTGTCAGTACATAAAGCTGTTTTAGCTCTCTCCACCAGTCTTCAGGCCGACGCCAGCGCGGCCGCAGCAGCAGATCGTTGAGTAGGGCGGCAACACATGCACCAAGAATAGGCCCCGCCCAGAACACCTGCAGCAGAGGTGATCAGTGATCAGGCTAAGTTAGAGAGGATGTGCAGGTGTGTGTGTCGTTATGAGTGTACTCTAACCCAGTGGTCCTTGAAGTTGAGTGTTACAGCAGCAGGACCAAACGACCGAGCTGGGTTCATCCCACAACCTGTGGCGCCGACCTGGGGAAAAAAAACGGACAGGAAACATGGTTGTTGGCTTGTCTCTTTGTGACCATAGAAGACCACCAGAAACACGGGTAGGACTTACAGCCACCAAGTGACCCAGACTAACAGTCAGACCAACCAACAGTGGTGTGGCCCCTACCGGCAGAGGGACTTCAGCAGTTACCATGACAACCAGTACCAGTTGGAGGGTTATGAGCGCTTCCACGGTGAACGCCTGGTGTAGCCGCACGCCAGAGGACACCTGAACGCAGGCAGTGGAGTCAGATGGAAAGCTCAACTATGCCAGTCTGTCAAAAGGTCAGAGAAACACTCACCTGGTTCATAGCAGGAGTCACGTCTCCCGTCAGTCCGAGCAGCAGTGCGGCAGAGGCCACGCCCCCCAGCAGCTGACCCACCATGTACAGCACTGCCCTCCAGAGGCGGAGCCTCAACGTCAGTGCCATTGCTAATGAAACAGCAGGGTTCAAGTGGACTGCCCCGCCGACAGACAGTGCTGCCATGGACACAGAGAGACCAAAGACCAGTACTACCTGCAGGGGACACACTGGTGAGGATGTCACTAGTCCAGAGGTAAGAGGACCTTCAGAGGGACGGGTCTGATTGGTCAAACCACCCGTCGACCTCTTGTCACCTCTTATGAGCAGAGTTGATAGGCTGGCAGACAGGAAGAGGGCTGTGCCTACAAACTCCAGCAGGAACTGGTGTAGGCATGACTGGGAGAAGACGTCACGCAGGACCAGACGAAGAAAGCGAAAGACAAACATCACTGAAGTACGGACTGGACCAAACATCACTGCAGTACGGACTGGACCAGGTTACCCGAACCTGGCTAATCTATGTAAACGATACAAAAAAAAAGCACAGATAATCAACAGGAAACACAACAAGAGGGAAGACATTGAAAGATAACCTAACCCCTCATTCCCACAGGTCCCGTCATCCATGCGCCCTCAATCCAATGGCAATTAGAAGCCATTATAATTTAAATGGGAAATTCCCACCACCTTGGTGGCACTGTGGCATAACATCTCCCCTCTGTCTCCCATTTGAAATTCATTTTTGACAGATGACAGAGGAAAAAGTGTCAGTTTCTACAAACCAAAGCAGCCAGACAGGAAGTCAGAGACTAAATAAAATAGATCTGTAACATTTTAATATTAGACTAGAGGCTTTCTGGACACCTGAACAGATGCTACATATATTTAGTGAGGAATACTGCATGGGACATTTCATGACAAATAAATAAGGTGAATATGGAATGCAGATAATGTGAAGGCAGTCGAAGACAAATACAGTCGAGACAAACAGAAATACATATGGGGTCCTGGGTGTTCATGGAATGGGTGTTTAGAATAACCTCTAACGCCTTCATCTAACCAAAAATCAGATTTAGCATCAATCAGTTCCTTTTGTCACCTAAACAAACCCACAACTACTTATGATAAAGAACCTACCCAATAGTGTCAGAGATGTCAGTCACTGGTGTTCTGCTGCTGCTTAAGGATGTTTCCTTTGCCCATTCCAGAGTGCGTGTCTCTGACTTTTATTAAGGTAAAGTGGGTGGCGTTTTGCACTGCGGAGGGAGGAGTTATCATACAGACAGACCTCAGAGGACAGGAAATCTGTTGTTTTCTGATATTGGATACTTTCCATCTGTCAGGAGAAACTGAACTAGTTTGTTGAAGAGTCTCCACTGTAAATGGAATTGACATTTACTCTCAGGTGGAGCTGAACGAACCTAAAGCCTACAGTAGGATGAAATCTGCCACTATATGCAGCAAAAGTATGTGGAGAGAACCATCCAAAGTCTGTCTTTTCTCAAAAATCTATTAGTAAAAGGGAAAATGAACATAATTTTAGTTTCAGACGAAGCATCACATCTGAAGACGTTTTTGGACCTCTATCGTACCTTGAGCGAAACCAGAGTTTCCTAAGTTTTGAACTAGAACTAGAGTCACACTAGTTAACATATGACTTACTCCAAGATCTCCAGCAGCCGCCCAAACCTGAGAAGATAACCTCTCCTGTCTTGTGACTGTAGAGTAGTGGTCTCTTACTCAAACCCTTGAGGGTCACTTTCTGGTCCTTTGACATGTTTCAGTTGCCCGACACAACTGAATCAAATGGCTAAACTACCTCATTAGCTTTGCTGATGAGCTCACATTGGATCTAAAAGTTGCAGGATACTGGCCCTCAAGGACAGGCGTTCTAGAGCCCTGTTGCAGAGGCAGGAACCTGAACAGTTTCAAAATAAAACTTTTATGATTCATTTTTATAGGAAAACTAAGCAGAGAGACTTAGAACATAGACCAACCCCAAAGCTGCATCACTGGTGAAGTGGAGGCAGCATCATGAAGAGAAGCTGTGGTGCCTCCCCACCACTAAGGAAAACACATCTTTAGGTTTAATCAGACTCAGTTAAAGAATGGAGTGCAAGGAGCAAACTGATCATTTCATTTTTAGTTCCATAAATCTTAAAAAACAAGAAAATTTAATGGTTAAAAGAGGCAATACACAACAAAAAATGGCTTCTAAAAAATAAGAAAAAAATAGTGTTTTAAGTGAATAATTGCTTATTTTTAGCAAAGTAATCTGCCAGTGCAGCAAGCAAATGAGACTTGGTAAGATTTCCTAAAACAAGAACATAATATCCAAGTAGTAAGCATCCATAAAAACTTAAATCAAGTTATTCTCATTTATTAGTCATTATTGCTTAGAATTAAATGTCCTCTAACCAATTATTGCTCAAAACAAGCAAACAACAGGCTTAAGAACAAGGCAAATTTACTTGATACCAGTTCATTTAAAGTTTTTCTTAGCTAGAATTAATTTCATTATTTAGGTGTAGTGAATGTATGGGAAAAATACACTTGACCAAAAAACTTCAAAACGTTTTTTTAATTAATATTTTAGCAGAAATGTCACAGAATTAAGCGAAATAACCCCCCGCCGCCCCCCCAAAAAAAGGCCAAACAATGAAGAGATGGTGATGCAGCAGTATCGCTACGCTCTACCCCTTCTATTCATTCTAGCTAATCTGAATCGTTCATTCCATTATGAATGCTGGCGTACCATAAATGATAAATTATGAACAGTTTAGTTTGTGCCTTCAGTCGTTGCCTATAGGAAGACGTTACTTGGATATAACCTACCGGTAACAGAATATCTTCAGAACGGCTCCAAATGACACAAAACTCTTAGAACATGATGCAATAACGTAAAATCAAGGACCAAATGTGAAAAAAAAAAAAAAAACGGCGTTCCCCTTTAAGGCAGAGCTTCTATTATAATAAGCATAACCTAATGCTAAGGTTCAGAATCTCAAAGCTAAATCATGAATGACAATCTCAATGACCCGATCAATTTGAATGCAATCAGATTTGATTAGCTGGAATATCTGAATGAGATGGGGTCAGTTCTTAAAACAGGTTAATATGGATCGTCTTATTGTCTTGAAACAAGTAAAAATGTACTCACAGTCTAAATGTTAACACGACTCAGTCCGCAATGTGAGCTATTTTAAGAAAAAATCTGCTCAGAATTAGTTTTATTCTCTAGTTAGGATGAAAAAAAATTAATTTTCTTAAA